ATATTGAGCAATGTGAGTATGTCCTGTCATAGACGCCACTGTTAAGATTTAAACCCTCTAGGGAGCAGTAGATTCTGTAACATGGCAAGGCAATGTACATGAAAGATTTTCCTTTTAAAAATCCCATCGCATCCCCCACAGCTCGTTTGTAGCTTACTGCAATAGCTCGTGTGACCTCTGCAGGAACTAATGTCCCTTCCAGCTCACCTCACACACTCAACAGTTCCCTTGTGCCAAAACCTTTCCAAGTGATACAGAAATCATTGCAAATGATTTAATACCCTTCACTTGTCACACAAACACACATACACACGCACCACATAAACACACTTGCACCACACACACTACAAAAAAAAATAAGGAAAACAAATAAGTTGTTGCTTAATGAACCTTTGTCAGTTGGAACAAATAGCCATAGAAAAGGAGTGTGCTGGAATACAGTTATTGATCTTCAGTTACATAAAAGAACACCGGCTGCAGGATAGCTGGGCACACGATCTTAAAAAACTGACTTCTCTCTCAAGGTTTATCCACATAAATTGTCAAGCTTGTTGGACATAATCAACTTTCCAATTTCAATAAAAATAAGCGCTGCTGATTCTGCCTTGACAACTTATCAATAAATAATGCTCTTATAAAATTTCTGCACTTGGTAAAACAGATATAAGACTTCAGGCTCCTGAAATATTTGGTCCCTTCTTAATCCCTTCTGTCACTCTTTTTTAACCAATATGACAGGAGAGACCTTATCGATCTCATTCAAACTTGTAATCCCCATGCCCAAAATTGTAAATATTCACAAGGAAGAAATAAGAGGAAGGAAAGAGAAAACACATACAGGTAGAGCAGGGCCATGTTCAGACAAAATCATTGCTTGGGTCCAAAGTGGACCCCACAGAACACAGTGCCATTGACAATGTCATAAATGACAGTCCGGGCTCCGCTCAGACTGGACTCTGACCTGGGTAAGCAGGATTGCTGGCAGACAAGCAAAGCCTAAAGTCAGCAGTCCTAAGAAACTTGTGAATCTGGCTTCTGTTGCTCTGCAAACCTCTAATTTCCAGGCTATTCCCACTGCCCAAACACACTCCTCGAAACTGACAAGATTCTCTCGGTCTTTCACTATCTTCACTGTTCCCTGAGAGACATCCTTGGCAGTTTTTAATTTCCCTAAATAAGCCTGTTTTCTTCCACAGAGTGGTCTAGTTTGGTGGTTTGTGTTGTCTGGTCAATGATGTCAAGGATTATACTTAATTCCTATGTTATAGTTTAATCACAGCTCTGTTTTCAGATAGCAGTAATTAAGAAGACAATGCCCTTAAGGACGGTGTATGGTGTGTGTGTGGGGGGGGGTGTTTGTGTGTGAAATATGTATATGTGAGATGTGTGTATGTGGTGTGTGTGATATGTGTGTATGTGTGGTAGGTGTATATGGCATCTGTGTATGATATGTGTGTAC